ATTCCTGCTTCCTGACCCCTGAGTCTGGTCCCCGGGGAGTCTGTGGAAACTTGCTTTTTCTCCTCCTGTTTAATGAAGTCACAGTTGCTAAAGGAGTTCTGAAAGCTTTGGTTGTTTTAATTTTTTTTTCTTTCAAGCTGTTATTTGTAGAGAAACTGAGAGATGTAAGGACTTGAGGAGCTCTCTGGAGAAGATTTTAAGTAGGTTATTTTAGCTGTTTTTTAGCTAAAGAATAACATCAAGCCTGAAGCCCATGTACAGTGCAAAAGCTGACTCCCCAACCGCGCTTGTTCATCATCTCCTGGAGTCCAAGGTCATATTTTCCTCTGAATCAAACCTCGTTTAGAAACACTAAAAGGACATTACAACACTAGAATTGCAGCGTGAAAACATTAGCACTATTTTGTGATGGGAGGAAGAGTTGACTGGAGTGCATCCCAAATGAGACTCTAAGCTTCTGGTGTTATCTTTTATTTTGACTGCCTCTAACCAGCTTTCCCTCTAGGAAATGCCAAACCCTCCTTGGAATATCCATTTTTTGCCACGTCCAGGGAATGGAAGGTGACGGTCACACGATACACAAAACTGTATGTGCCGTTTCTGATTGTACTGCTGGAATATACCTTCCTTATCAGATTTTCTGGTACTTTGTGGCTCTCAGTATTTTGCACAAAGGAGCATTAATGTCAAAGATGTTGTTCACGTAACCCTGTTTTCTGAACCACGGGGCCTCTATTTTCGTTTGCCCCTCTAATTCCCACCTCTTCTGCTGCTAATGCTCACTTTGTTGGGAAATTTCTACATCTGCTAAAGGGTTAACAGGGCTGCGTCCCCACTCCTGCACTAATTGCCAATCATCACCAGGGGTTCTTTACAAAGGGTGTAAAGAATCCATGTGCTGATACCATACCATACGGTTGTAAAGTAAAAGTTTCACCAGATCGGTAATGCATATATTCCTCAATGACTGATGAAATGAAAAGGGAAATAGTACAATCAAGGCATTCGATAGTAAAAGAAGCCTCTGCTCAGCTCCCCGTCTGCCCTGAACCAGGGACCGAGCGAGAGGAACCAGAAGGTCGTGGATAACTAACACTGCCCCAGTGAAGCCAGTGGGGTGGGAGGCTCAGGCAAAGGGCGCCTTGGGCTGCCGCAGCTGGCAGGAGCAGCTCTCGGCCAAGCGCTCAGTCCGGGCAGGGTGGCAAAGGATACGAGTGTCGGGGGCTTTTTTTTAAACAGAGCAACGTTTTTAATTGTTTTTTCCACTTAAATGGAAGGAACCTTACACAACAAGCAAATCCTTCTGAACAAAATGGCTGTGTCCGCTGACTCTTTTTAAAAAAAAAAAAAGAAAAAAAGAAAAACTGTTTCAAAACTTTTTAGTGTCAAAAGCATAAACACAGAAATCCTGACTTTTTCCAGTGTGTGTGGTGAGTGCTGTAACCCTGTCATCAGTACCTCTCCTGACTTTTTCAGGGGTGTTTTTTCCTGTTTTGTTTTCTGCTTGTCGATATTGTCTGTGTGGTCCTAAGGCTGGGGCAGTTACCAACAATGTGTGTCTGTTGTCAGATTTAAAAAGATAGTAGTAGAACTGAAAAAGATGTGTTTTAAAAATATATAAAAATAAATTTCATCAAAAGGAATTCAAGTAAAGAACAACAAAGCCATGACTCCTCCTCTCGGGATTGTACGGAAAAGGATTTGTGGGCTCCTAATTATAACCAGTTGCCTTTAACAGGCTTTTGAGGTCCAAGACAGCTTGGGCTCTTAGGAAATGCTACAAACCCTGTAGTTTGAATTCATGCTTTCCCAGTTTTATACTGTACATGCTACACATGTAATATAGAATTGGGGAAAAAGAAACAGTATCGTCTTAGAAACCAGGCTTTTCTAGTAACAGTTATCTATACTGGTTGTCCCTTAAACTCTGAAACGTTGAGGTAAATGGCCAAATATTTTTGGCCAAATTTTGACTGTTTTCTGCATTACATCTGTAAATGCCAGGGACATGTGCAAGCGTAGATTGCGTAGTATGGTTATTAGTTGCATGCATGCCCATCTTTTAAAAATTATGTCTCTTTGTGTCCCCTGTTGGTCACATATCCACAGTTGATCGCGTTGCATTAAAGGACTAGCAGCTGCCTCTGTTGCAGTTACATCAAAGACTGAGCTGCTTAAAAGGAGCAACGTGAGGATAAACGGTCATGTAATGTAAACAAAAAACCCACACAAATCACTTTACCAGTGATGCTAAGTAAAGAATTTCATTAAATGAATGTATTTTTTTAATATCAAATTTACTTATCACATGCTCTTTGTATGCATTTTGCATTTCGAGTTTGGATCTTGAAAATCAAGTGGATCGGTTTTGCTTTTAAACTTTTTGCATTTCCGCTTTAGGTTCTGAGTGCTGAGGTGGGTTTTTTTGTTCAAAATGTTTCTTTTTCATTTGAAAACTGACTAAAAAGGGGTCTCTTTATCAGCTGTGTTTAGTCACATACATTGTAAAATGTGGCTATCTCAAATCCAGATTTGGAGCCAATCTTGAGTAGACATTGCCCCTGTAACCTACCCGTTCTTCCCAGCTCTCCGTGGGCATGGCTAAGTCTCAGTCCCAGCAAAGTGTGGCCGCTCTGCATTTCATTTATATGGGAGGATGCCTGTCCTCTGCGCCTGCTCAGAGGCAGCTGCGTTTGGCCCTTACTGAAACGCGTGTTACAGTGTATCTGGGAGGTTGTATTGGCAAATGCCTGTATCTATTCAGATGCTGAAGGACGATGAATCAAATGGGACCATGAACAGGGGGATAATTCCTGTGCTTGTCTAACGTGCTGCTCCAAGCCCACTGAAATAGTATATTGCTGTTTCTCTCCAAGTCAGTAAATGATGAGGGCCGCACACCAGGTTCTGGTTTACAAATAGTTTATGGGGGCAATCTAGGGGATTGCCCTATGGAGTTAAAAAAAAAAAATCTATGGGATACTCCATCCACCCTACGGACATGGATCCGTCATTTGCTTTGGAAGAGACGCGTTGCACTTTAGTGGAGGGGGAGCCGGGCTTTGGGTGTGGGATCTCGTGTACTTGAATTCCTTTTTGAAATAACAGCAGCGGGAGACATTGATGTCCATGATGCAAGTGCGCACGCTGCCTTCAACTTGTATGTGTTTTATTGCTGGAGTCATGTTACTGACAGGATAATGAAATTGCAAAGAAAATGTGTTATATTCAACTTTGCCTTGATAATATAAACACTTTGTTCATTTTTCTTCTTTTTTTATTCACAGACTAAGTTCATCAGGAAATTATAAAATTATTTAAAAACCCTGTGCTGCGTCTTCCTTTCAGTGAATTTCGGTGTGCCTCGCTCAGTGCCCTCACCCTGGCCAGGCAGGATCGGAGGTGCTGAGGAGCCCCAAGTGGCCCTGGCCGCTGCCGTGTGGCACTTCCCTGAGACCAGGCTTGAGGTCCGATTTGTTGCCTGTCTGTGGACCACTGGGGTGCCCCTGGGACAGCCCTGCCGGGGGTCTCAGCCGCACCACGTGCCTGGCAATGCGTTCCGGCCTCAGTTCAGGCTGTCTGCGAGGTGAAGGTGAGCAAGTGTCAACTCATGGGAGTATCCCAATTACTCCCGAGACCTCGCAGGTCAGGTAAGTGTAGATACAGCAACTCTGTTTAGAGTGAGCTGTTTCCGTTGTCTCTCCCTCTTGCCTGTTTTCCAAATAAATGCGACTTAAAGGTTGCTAAAGAGTAACTGAATCCCAGATGTGCCTCCAACGTTGAGTCAGTTTTGGGATCACGTCTTATGGAGTAATGTGTTTGGAAAGACTCACTGTGCAAAGGCCAGCAAGCCTAGCCTATAGTGTGTTCCACACGAAACCAGACTGCAAGTCCTGTTCCCAAGGCATCGGCTGCCGTAAAAATAGGAGAGAGTTACAGCTTTGTCACAGAAAATGACCCATGCCCCACTGCAACACTGAAGGAAATGGATTCCACCCAGTGTCCGGTTTCCAGCTGCATTTTGAGGACACAGGAAATTGCCTGAGTAATGTCACTATAAAATCTCATTTTTCTGGCTTTTTTAACTGTTCTGAAGAGAATAGCGTTGCAACACTGGGTCTCGGTGATAGAACAATGTCCATTTTAAACATGCTCCACCAGATTCTCCCCAGCTATCCCTGAACCCTGAGAGAACAGGGCTTCTCTAAGTCAGAACACTTGCTGATGAATTTCTCTTTAAAGCCCCTCTGTGTCTTTCTCCTTTTGTCTATCTGTGCAGCGGCTCTTTCCCTGGAATTCCTCTCTGCCCATGTCCCTCCTGCTTTCTATAGATTTATCATTTCAAGGGACGCTTCAGATACTTGCTTGTTTCCATAACAGTGACTTCACGTGCAACAGGAAAAGGCATCCTGATCTGAGTGCCTGGAAGTCCCACTCCCTCCGCTAATTGGATTTCAATCACTTGGTCCTCAATCAAACACATAAGGCAGTGTGTGGAAAAAGGATACGCGGGGATTAAGGGTCT